GGGCCATGGCAAACAACCACGGCACTCCCACCACAAATGGTAAAGTGACCCACGTACTACTATCGTGTTGCACCACTTCATTGCTTTGCAGATGAGCACATTTGCGAATGCAGAAACTCGCCCAAGGTTTTCCACTGGACACGAACTCATGTGATATTGAGACCACAGGTCTTTGTGTAAAAAAAAAAAACCATTAACTCACGTAATGGTGTTCTCACCTCAGAGAACACATTAATACAATGAACGGAATGTTCTCCCACTGAGGGTGCAGGCTGCACCGCACAATCGCGGCGCGCCTTGTAAAACCAGGCCACACGTACGATGCCATATGAACAGCTCCGCCGCAGCTCCACGCGTATTATGTAAACACATCCCGTGCGCTACACGAAGGAGGAGGGGGGGGTACGCTGCTCTCAAACACGTAGCAACACCCCCATCCCAGGAGGAACTGCCCTGCACCCCCGACACGAAGCAGAGACCCGAGAAGGGTCATGTATGTCAGTGGCCAGTGGGCTGTATTCACAAGCACGCCACTGGCGTATAAAGGAGGCGTCATGATGTCAAACAATATTGACATCACCGAGTTCCATCAACAGTGATTACGGCTGCAAGCACTCGACATCAGAACTACTGCTGCTACTCACATCGCCTTACATCAGCCGTGTCTGTCTGGGACAGTGGTCCGGCAACACATACATCCGAGCCTGGTACATCACATCCAGCATGCCTCTCTCACTGTGGCTGTGTTTACTCGTCACGCGCCTCCTTCCAGTTCATCGACGAACGGGAAAATAATGAAGTTAGAAATTATGCCCTGGCTATGAATACGGTCACTACTGCTAATGATGGCAATTTTATCAGCCAATTAATTTCTGAGGAGTCTACCAAAGCTTGACAAGCAGGTCCTTGGTTAAACATTTCAAAGATAATGAACACAACTGATAACTGCTTTGCAAAATAATGAATTTTATTGATTAAATGACTCGTCTCCGCCGAATGCCCTGGTCGCTTCGCGTACAAACGCGCTGGAAGAGCAAAAACCCCCCAAGAGGCGGCAGGAGGAACGCGATTGATCCGCCGCTCGGTGCGCATGAATTACTCCTCGGACTCCGACTGTGAAATGCGCCTGGCCAAATTATAGATCAATTTAACGGCTTGCTGCATCAAAAAAAAAAAACGACCCTATAACCAATAGCGAATGATACGTGCCGAGAAGAACTCGCATTTTATCCAGGGATAATTTTTGAACGTCCCCACCCTAAGCTTTGCTATCGACGCCAGTGTGGCTGGAATGGAGCGGTCATCCCCGCACCGAGCGCACGTGCCTGCACGACTCTCATTGACGCGAACATTACACATGACACAACTCCAGCCCGGTCCCGAGTCCATTTATATTCTGCCGACCTTGTTACAGCAACAACCCAATCTCACGGGGCAAATAAATGGCTTGATTCGCTCAGGCACAATTCACCTTTATGCATGGGGCAGGGCAGCGAGCCTGACGAGCCGATACGGGAGGCACTCTCGCTCGGACACCTTCACGAACTGAACGCGGCGCAAGTGGTCAATGACGCCGAACGTGAACGCGCATCAGGGCCACAGAGGTACAGCTCGCCTGCTGCACAGTGTCTCCAGTTCCCTGCCGCAATAGAATGAATCACTGCTGTCCCACATTGTAAAGCCACGTCTATGAATTCCTGCTCGTGCCGTGTCGGTCGCGGGGGGTGGGGGGAGGGGGGTCTTTCTTGGTTATTTCACCACGATGGTCAAAGCGGGTTGGCGAAAGCCGTCGCTCGCAAGCGACGTAGCCCACGGCAGGGAACTGAACATAGGTGTCTGGCTTCGTAGGGCAGCGCGCAAACCCACTGCGCCCCAAAGCCTCTGCCTGATCAATAATATAAATTCACCTCGATTTGATTTGTTTTACAGGTTTAGGCTCACTCGGCTCAAGCGTCTCTCGGCGAGCACTGTGAATCCTAAGTAACAATAAACAGATGCAATAAATATAGAGCACGCGCAAGGATCGGCCTCCTCGGGGCAAGCTCCATGGCAACCCGGCCGGCGCCCCCGCGGCCGCCGGCGCCCCGGCGAGCGCCGATCTCCCCACACCCTCGCGCCGCGCACGCACGAACGCACGCACGAACGCACGAACGCACGTACGCACCATTAATCCATCCACATACATACCGGGGGGGGGTGGAATCTCTCGGTGGCTTTCCACCATGGCCACCGCCCGTGCGCCCACCACCATAAACAATTAGCCGCAGCGCTGCGAGTGAGCGAGCGGGCGGGCGGGCGGGCGGGCTTACACGCAGATGTTTTACGGTGACAACGAGCATGGGAATACACGGAGCATTCGCATCCTCGGAGATCTGTTTGTGTGTGTGTGTGTGCACGCGAGTGTGACTGCTGGGGAGCGGTGGTGTGGTGGTTATGCGCGCTGCGCTATGAACCCGGCGACCCAAGTTCGATTCCCGCTTACGGCCAACCCCAGTGACGAATATTTGAACCGGTCCTGGACCTCCCCTAGGTCAACTCCGCCTTGATGTGGTTTGTAAAATTTGCCACTAGGGAGACAAAGGCGGCCGGGCGTGGTGCTGGCCACCCACCCCCTCGTGTGCCGTGCGAACCTTCATAGCTGTTCGCTGACAGCACTTGCCCCAAAAGTCTCTTGAGGCTATAAGGGAGATCTTTGTCTTGTGACTGGAGGTGCAGTGGTTTGCGGGGGCGAGCGGTAGTGTTGCGGGTCACGCACTGCGCTACGACCCTGGCGACCCGAGTTCAATTCCCACTCACGGCCAACACCAGTGACATTGATCTGAATTGGTCCTGGGTTTCCCCTAGGTCGTCGATTCAGCCTCAAATTAATACCCAATGCGGCGTGTAAACATCGCCATTAGGGAGACAAAGGCGGCCGGGCGTGATCCCGGCCACATCACCGCCTCGCGTGCCCTACCACTCTTCGTAGGTGCTTGCGAACAGCACTTGCCCCAACAGTCTATTAAGGCTATGACGGGGCTTCTTTGTTTCTGCAGTGGTTCTCGCTACAAACTGGTCGACCCGAGTTCACATGAGTTCACATCAATGGCGAATGGTGTCTGAACAGGTTCTAGGCCTTCCTATAGGTCGACTGAAATGAGTACCAGATGTAGTGTAAGCACTGCGAATACGAAGATGGCTAAAACACGGTGTTGGCCATACCATCCGCCTATTCACGGTTCGGGATTAGATAGGTGCTCATTAACAGCATTTTCCCCGCCAGTCTATAAAGGTTGTAAGGTGGGCCTTTCATCTTTGCCTTTGTGCGAGTATGCGCGACGTTGCATTCCGTAGATTCCCTTGAAAGCCTAAGACAATTCAGCATGCTCCAGGGTCCATCCGTGACTTGAGGCGGCGCATGGTACACACCTGCTACTGCACTCCAAAGCTCTTAGAATATGATGAGACTGGAATTTTGAGAAGCACCGCACGGCGTCAACCATCAATATTTTCATTTCATTTAGCCGAATGGAGCTGTGTGAGAAGACGTGCATAAATTACGTTTGGGCTTAGGCGTAGAAATTTTCCGACCAAACGTTTACCTGTGAGGATTAAATAAGGTAATTGGAAATATAAACTATTGTAAATAGAGATTAAATTACTTTGTGTTGTAGGGGGAAAAACTACACTCAATTATAGTATCTGATGGTAACTTTGTACCTTCCAATGAAAGCGATGTGCCACCACATGAATAAAACAGGAGGCGTTCTCTGGACGCTGTACGTCAAACCTCTTTCAATGGATTAGCTTATATAGTACTTTCCATTACTCAAAAAAACAGACATGCTCGGCTTGATTAAGTAATTGTCATTTGAAGCGACTCCATGCCATGTGTGATCAAAACACACATCCGTCTAATCAAACTTTTCATTATTACGTTCCCAATAAGGTTGCCTGCGCTGGGTTTTATTACCGAATTTTGTTTGAATATCAGCGCATTTAATATACGTTAACAAACATGGCAGGGAGACCACGTATCGTGTGCGGACATGAGGCACACACAGAATGACCCTGTGACTCCAGGCCCACTCGGCGGTTCGCAAAGTGCCCGCTACGCTAAAAGAAAAAAGTGGATTTCTTTGACACGGTTCGATACTTCGAATTGATTTAAACCCTCCATTATTTTGCCAGACTACCATTAAAAGGAAATAAAAAATATATATATATAGCCACTAACGTCCTATATGCACTCACACGGTTGCAGGAGGTACTGTTGCAATTTCATTAATTTTTTTTCAAATATATATTTGATCAAACTTAATTTGCAAATTGTAGATAATCGATGCTCGACTAGTTGAGATCAATTGGTCAAGAAAACGCCATTAAACTTATCAGAAGCCTCCTGGTAGAAATGAGGCTGGTGAATAATTACTATAAAAGTTATACATTATGGTAATGCTAAACACTCATTAATGGTAGCAGCCAAACATCATAATGGAGGATCCTCCTGTAAAAAAAAGTCTAAAGATCCAGGGATATTTCCCTGACGAAATAATTGAAATAGACAAGAAAAATGACGGCAAGCACACTCGCCTAACAAGAGCCTTTATACGTTCCCGATAAACAATTTAACTCTTTACACCGTTGTTCATCCAAGTGTATCGTCCCCACTGGCTGTAAGCACTCATTAATGATTTTGCAACAATTATTGTCCCTTTAAAAGGCAAAGGTGCAGCCCTGCAATTGTATTCAATGATTATAAATGTGCAAGCATAGATTGAGTTGAACATAACTGCATGTACCCCATGTGTGCGTGCATTTTTTATGTTTGTGCGTCACACACACATTATCATCGCTTAAATAAGATGCTTTAAAATACAAAAAGCCTACTTAAACATAAAACTGATATGTTTATGGAATGGTGTGAGCTGTGGCATGAGCAAAGACAAGCTGCCTGGCATGAGTGGCAAGGTGAAGAGGGCAAGTAATTTATGTCCGAATGACGAGCGGAGACAGCTCACCTTCACGACTTGCCCAGAGAAGCCACTTCTGACCTCAATTAGATTTAATGCCTCATTCCCGGCGTGCTGCAGGAGACGTAAAAGAAAACAAATGCACAAGCACAATTTAAGCACTTGACGTACGAACGCTGACAATTGTTTGACGGGCATTCCCAGCCAGGATAACAGCACAACATCTAGTTTGCAGCACGGAGGTATGGCATTGTCATGAATTTAATTTAAAGGTTCTCAAATATCAAAACATTTGGATTTCATTCGTGAGCCGAACAACGCTGCAAAATCCATTTGTGTCTTCCCCTATTTCATAAAATCAGTGAGAAAGACCCCGGCGCATGCATTGCCACATTTGTCTTGCGATGGTCATGTTTGCTAATTACCGTTGGGCCTTGGACACTGGGATTACTGTATTATCAATAGCGATAATTGCAGCAAACAGGCACCTGGCAAGTCGTCTCTATTTACATTGTCTGCTTCTGATTGCTGTTTGCCCGCCTGCTTCGTTTGCTGGAAATATATCTCCTGGCCAATCTCTTTTCGCGTGCGTGCGGGCGTGCGTGTGTGTATGCACACGCCAACAGGTCGGAATGTCAATTTTCCAGGAGACGAAGCGACATTGCGTCTCCTGTGTCTGCATCTGGCGCTCGTCAAAAAAAGTCTCCCCCTTTACAAAATCAATACACACTTTTTTTTACACTTTTGCCTTCCGATTGCAAGCCACGACAGCTTTAATGCACAGCGACATCATACTAATAACATTACGCAAAGTGCACACGCAAAAAATGTTTGACTAACACACATCAATTATAAATCGTACAAACATAATGTGTAGAATACTAATGGAAGCAAATTGTTCGCCAAATATTTAATATGCACTCAATGAACCGAGAACATTCATTGCGTTTAATTAAAAAAGGGAAATTAGGACATTATTTTATGCTCAAGAATATTAAAAGATTTTGTCTTTTGGAACGAATAAAATGGGTTTATTTTTGCAACTTAATCTTTGTAAAGCCTGCCACCTAGTGTTCATTGACTCATGCTCAGGTAGATACAAACATCTATAATTTTAAAAGTTACCTTTAATAAAAAAAAACCACAATGGGAATGCGGGTTTAATAAAGAATAACATTTTAGCAGCCTCAGCATCACAAGTATAATGCCCTGTCAGTTTGACCAGGCAGTAGTGTAGTGTATGCAGATGCCTAGTCAGATGGGTATGGCATAACATTTGTTGCTATGCTCGATTATTGAACATGTTGTACGTAGCCAACCGTGCTAATCGGAGGCGCAGAAGAAGGACAACAAACTAAACCCAAAACGCAGTTCTAAAGAAATTAGTTTTCAATCTAGATTTAAAAATGCATAGCTCCAGTGGCTTCTTCATTTCGGAAGAGCATTCCAGACGGCCACAGAAGCGCATCTAAAAACGCGCAATGGGGTAACCATCTTTTTTCGATGGCTAGTCAAAACCTGCTGCGAGGATGACCGGAGTTCGCATGATGGTTTATGCTCCTTTACAAGATCAGCAAGGTGGTTCATTTGTGGCAAGCACTTTGTGTGTAATGAGTTGCGACCTTATAAAGTATTCGTGAACGTTGTCGATAATGTTGCCGAAAATTGAGGATACATTACATGTGTTCATTCAATAAATTATCGAATATCAAAAATGTATAAATAATCAAACATCATTCCACAGATGGTTTATTTTCACTGGCGTGCAATTGGATGAGAGGTAACATTATGAATATCGGTTGGAGTTGGTTCCGATGGGGGGAGGGGGGCCACTGGGCTTGGGTAGAGAAGGGCAGTTTGCAAGCCAGACAGGACAGTTGCTCCTCTACTGCCCACATCCATCATCCTTCTGCTCCAGCAGCCGCAACTGTGGGCACGGCACCAGCTTAATAGCAAGCTGTAAGTCTGCCAAATAATTTAATAGTTGTGGTGGGATCAATTGGCATAGTTGACAGCTTTTCTTTTTCCTGCGGCTTCATTTGTTAAACTGCAGATGGTGGACACAGGTGGAGTGGCGACTCGGCAAGGATCACGGGGCAGACACTTTCCGGAACCCCACAGCGTCAGCTCACAGGCGGAGGAGGTGCCACCGCGGATTTTGTGCCTCAGCGAGGGACCCCGCAGTCTTAAGCTGTGGTGGCGATAGCATGCCGAGCTGTGCACCCGGTGAGGTGAACATGTGTTTGCTGGATGCGTATTTGCTGGATATGTATGAGTTGAGGGTATGGGGGACAGGGCTGGTGTCGTGGATGCTGATGGTGGTTGTTGTTCTATTGTCATTGGTTTTTTTTCTCACTGGAGGGGTAATGCGTGGGGCATCACACGAGAACCTGGCGAGAGTGGGACTCAAACCCTGAAGTGTCTCTTCCAGTGCCGGTTCGTTGCATCTCCACGTTTTAGCACACTCTGGTCGTACCGCACCATAAGTCGCACAAGTTTAACAATTGAGCCAAATTTGGCCGTGGAACTCACTCCGAGGTGTGAGCCCACCCCTAGCATGCGTGCCACTCTGGAAGCCAGCTTTACACTTCGAATATCCGAATCTCATACCAGTGACCCAGATCCAAGCACAGCCACTGGGCTAACCACGGCTTAGTTTTAGCCGAAGCTGTCTCAGGGCTGAGATCTGGAAATTGTTTCCCTGTCCCCCCACCCCCACCCTTCCCTGCAATTCCCACTGTCAGGGGTTAGACAGTGGGGTCCAGGGGGTACGGGCTTGGAGGGACCCTGGGCAAGATTCCTTGAGAAATGAAGTCCTGGTGCTAACTCAGCACCCGACAGGCTGGCTCAGCCGCGATCGATGAAGAAAACTTTACTCCAAGCAGGTCCACGTGTACACCCAATAAAAGGGCGCACACCACGCATCAGCATCTACCCTTGCATTCTAAACAAATAGTGGATGTTTTAATCTGTGCTCTTTATCAAAGACAACTGAAATATTTTAATAATAATTTACATCCCTGTCAATTATTGCGCGACGAAGGCCTCATTAGTAGAATACTAAAGACATTTTCTCGTAACATTTTCCATTAAATTATCATAATTGCTTGAAATCTAAACTTTGATTTAAAGTAAACATTGCTGTATACACAGTTTTAAATGTATACAGCCATACTGGAAAGCAAACACTGAGTTTGCACTCAGAGCAAATCAAAGCAGAGCTGCACCCAGCGGCATGAAGTGTTATTCGTTGAGAGGGTGGCTGGTCAGACCAAACCCCTACTCCCAGAACACCCATCCATCGACGGTGCTTCAGCGCATGAGGGGTCAATTACTCAAGAACTCTCCTCCGCCTTGTCGCCTCCCCTTGATCACAGCCGTGCTTGTGGGAACCCCACGCTGTGAAGGCATGGGGGGGGGGGGGGGCTGCATCTCTGCGAACTCGCCACCTCTGTGCCGAACTAGTGGGCTCACTGACGAGTGGTGGGACACACACCTCGACTGAGTGCGCATTACGCCAGGGTGCCGGTAGGAACTGAAATACGGTTGGGAACGGAAATAAAACCAGAAGCACAAAACCTGCACAGGGTTGCACTCCGGGGGCGAGATATTGTATGCTTTCACTGTCTCTCGTCAGGTTATATAAATGTACTGTTACATAAACACTTACATTATTTACTCCGGTTTATATCGGGATAAAAAGACTCTCAGTCAACATGTAAAATGTGATTTTTTTATCTCCGAATGTTAATCCATTTGTATATCACTTAACATTCATAAATCACGATGCAGCAGCTACATATGCAATACTTTATAGGAAGAATAGAGCCACCACGTCAAACGGCACAGTGGTGTATCAAGACACCTTTGAAATTCCACTCACAGAGATGGTCTATTTGTCTGTTGCGTAACTTACCACAGCAAACGCATGAAATATTGGTTTTAGATTTGTGCACGTGACAATCAACGGCCGGTAGATGGTGTGGGGGTAATGAAAGCATTCGGCTCACCTGCTCCAGCAGAGAGCTGCCAGCATGCCACCTGCGAGCCCAGGCCGGTGGCTGGGCACAGGGCGAAAACCCATCCTGTGGCCCAGAAACAGAATCAGAATATGTAGTTATAGTGGAAGAAACCGATGAGCTAATTAATGCTCTTTTTCACAGACGTCCAGTTGGGGCGAGTCAGAACGTTGCAACAAACAATCAATGCAAAAACACGATATGAGTGCAAAGTATAGGAAAAGTAAGCAAATCACGAAAGAAATATACAAATAAATTAAGTTATTTGAGCAGGTAAAGCCCACTCAGTTATTAACTTATTTTTCAGAAGCGACCTGGCCACAAATGATAGCTCAACGAATTGGTTTATGACGTGGAAATTGATAGCAGCAGCAGAGTGGTTTTGCCGCATGTTCCTGCAGTACCCTCAATACGCATAGATACCTAAGCAAGCTACATCTAAATGTGTAGCAAACTTAATTTGTCCATCTCAGAGACCATCTGACACGGCGGAAACTTAATTGTCCAAACAGACCTGGAGCAACCAAGCAGCTATTGTATTGATGATGGGCTATGTGTAACTATATGACCTTTGATCTTTGTCAACAAAAACCTCAATATATTTTCGACATGCTATTTTTATGTTTTTTTAATACATTCTCGATTATCTTCCTATCCCTCAATTTTATTTTATGTTGAGAGTTGCATATATTGTGGGTTACAACTGGCATGTGTGGCCTCTTTATGGGTAGTAATAGAAACAGATCCACATCGATTATCTCAACGAGATGTTGGTTGCACTGGCGCTCCAAGGGAATTATGCCCGCAGGCACACTGATAGCATACATGTTTGACTTAGAGCTGTTTCAACAAAGTTTCAGTAGTTTTGTTGAGCGATACTACTTTTACAGTAACGATATGACGCGTGAATGTCATCGAAAATGATTGCACACCCTCGATTCCAAAATACAAGTGTCGGAACGTATGGACACTTTTGAAAATTACTCCACATTCTAGTCGATTTACTGCAAGCGTCACTCTTTTCAGTCACTCGCGGTTGGCAGGAAAACTTAGAGCTGTACAGGGACTACGATGTTTAATGAAGTTTTACATCACCGTACAGCGTCGAGAAAGTTGTTTTGCCAAGCATTATATACACGATATCGTGCTTTTTAAATATTAAACGTTAAATGTAAAAATGCTACTTGTATTTTACCGTAAGATTTGTTAAATGTCTTATTGACGTCTCTATTCTCAACTTTACCAAAAAACACCACAATAAATCGTGTTTAATCAATGGCAGTTTCTCGACTGTAGTTACACAAATGCTGAGTACTGCCTGGAGCTAAATTCACACTTAATTACGTGCACCCTGGCAACGGACGCGCCGCGGCATGCCGTCACCTGGGGCAGTGAATTTTCACTTTTTATTATACAAAAAAAACATATGTCAAGGTCTAACATCTCAGCACCAATGGCCCCCTGGCCAAACCTCCCCCGCCCCACGCGTCTCCCAAACACTCGATGTATCGGCATGCACGACGTAGGGTTGAAGGTGAGTGAGGATGTCCGCAATTCTAGGTATGGCCACTTACCATTATCACCACACCTGGAGTCTCGCAGTGACTGAGCCGCGCTCTCGGAGTTGAGGCTCACGTTCTGCAAGTCCCCGAAAATGTCAACATTGCCACCACGGGCCCGCTCACTCACTCCACGCTCTTCTGCTGGACGTGCACAGAAAAAAAAGTTATTAAAGCACACGTTTGGCTTCTCCCACAACGCACGGGCAAACCGTGAGCGAGCCAACAACTAGAGTTGGTCACAAAGCGTGAAGTGTCCTGGCGCTTGCGTTCCGAACAAAGAGTGTTCTGTGACCAGGGGTGGCTTTGTACGCAATGCACCAGGCAACCAATGAACACTCCCTCTTAACAACAAGAAATTACACAGTCATTCAGAGTAATTGTAATGCTTTCCAATGTCACGTACGACATACACTCATTGTATGCGATTTAAATATTTACAATGTACAGCATTTGAACAAAAAACAAGTAAAACAACTTTTAATGTGGGGAGGGGGGGGTTAAAGCCATATCACTGTGCACGCTATTTGAGTGTTCAATAACAACTGCTTACGCTTGAAATTCCTTAAACAACCGAGTCGATGTATCTGGTCGTTCGTCTCGTCTTCTTCAGCACAGTCCTCCTGAAATCAAAAAAGCACCCACGACGGGTTGACAAGAAGATCCGAGGAGAGCACAGAGACCCACGACAATGGCTCTTCTTCCACGTGGAGCTGCAGCGGACAAGAGCCACGGAGAGAATCTCTCCCCGCAGAGGACACGGATATGCGGGGGGACTCTCGAGTGGGCTGGGAATAGATAGAATCGAGGTGGGACTTGTCCACAGTGTACCGAGCCACTGGGGCGGGTTGTGACGGGGTGGGAGTAGAACTACGGACCACGTGAATAGGGTAGGGGGAATGTCCTGGAAGCCTGCTGTGGGTTGAGTATGGGAGACATCTAGAGCTGGGATATCCAATTATTTATAACATCAATTTACTCGACGTGTTTCGAAAAAAAGTCTCACCTCTGTTTCCAATGTGTGCCAGCCACGTCACGCTTGGCGTGCCGAGGTAATCCACCCAAAAAAATATTGATGAATAATTTTAGTCGGTCAATTGGCTTAGTACATTCGTTTGCTTAATCGATTAATTGAATAGACCCAGCCTTAGGAGGTATTCGGCGAACGTGTGGAAAGAGTCGGGGCGAAGTACCAGGCAGTGGTCCCAAAACATGCACCAGATCACAAATGTCGAATTGTAACCCCTTGGCCACACCGAGGACAAGGCTATCGCTCTTGCTCGTGACAATCAAATGAGATCAACGTCGCACCGCACTTCACGCATGAAGTGGGATGACTGTCTAAACGCGATCTTCTATGCAGGGTTATGGTTTCAATGGCTATTTTCACTTAGAGTGTCCGCTTCCCGCAGAATGAATGAATAATGTTGTAATTTGCATGACAACACGGCGACACAAGCCCTGATTGCTAAAACCATTGTTTGGGGGGTTGTGATGACAGCACGTTGTCTAGGGCAACGACGCTTTATAATTGGCCTAATTGCAACGTGGCAGAATAACAAGACCCCCACTGGGCTCTCTGCGTATGACTCACTGCGAAGCCTTAATGCGATGTTTGGTAGAAACACAAAAGGCACAAATTGCCTTTAGATTCGTGCAGTCGCGAATACAGTTGCTTTGGTGTGCAATAACGAGAACATTTAAAATTAACATGTACAGTGTGTGCATCGTTTTATTGTGTTATAGGATTACTAATTTAGAAAATTGCAGCGCGTTATGAATGTTAACAATCTAAAACAAATAATATCGTAAAACTATAAAATGTTGGTAAGAATGTAGTGGAGCTATGCAATGCTGTTGATCGCAAATAAGGTTGACTTGTGAACCATATGCATCTTATTAATAACTAGCTTATTTGCCCGTCCTTGGATGGAAGCTGTAATATTTAAGAAAAAATTGAGCGGAGTATAATTCTATCTTGTGTAAATTTAATGCCAGTGAGTCTTGCACGAAAGTATGTCATCAAACACTGCACTGCATTTCACTGTAGCACTGAATTAATGGCAGTGAATCTGCCACAAAACGAAGTCATAAAACACCTTACTTCATGTCACTGGAGCACTGTATATAACTGACCTTCAATTTGTAAAAATTCACTGCTCTAATACTTTATGCTCTTCTGCTTTCGGTTGCTGGGGTTCAAATAAATTGAAATTCGATACAATATCATGAAAATCACCGATAAATGTATATTTTACCATAATGTAGAAGCATAAATTAGACTTACCTTTTGTCTCAAGTGCTGAAGAAATGAATAAAGACACCAAATCCACTTTGTTGCTGCGTATAATTATTTATTAGATTGACTTTCAATAAAGAAACGTGAAACTTAGAGCGAATTTGCGAAAAAATATTTTTCCCACTCATGAATATTAATGACGGGGGGTGTGCGGCATGTGGAGTGACGTCACGCGCGTTACACACAGACATTCTTGGCTCATTATACTAGTATAATAAGAATAGGTTTTACCCTTTCTGGAAATAAAACAGGTGTTAAGATATTCTTGGTTCTTTCGGTAAAGTCACGTAGAAGGGAAACAATAAAATAATAAAAAATATAAAATAAAATTCTCACGACGTTTCGACTGCAACACAAGCAATAATCACCAAAATAAATACTTTTTGCAAGGAATAAAGTCTGCATTAACCACACGTACTTGTGGCAAAACATGCAAACAAACGTGCTCTGATAAAATATGCATTGCCTTCGAAACTGATTGGCCTACATATATTTTTAGAGCATGTTTGTTTGCATGTTTTGTGTTAGAACATCTTAACATCTCTATCATTGCCAAAAAAAGCTAAAACCTATTCTTATTTTTCACACTGTGATACTGGCAAAAATATCCCGTAAACATAGTCACCTTTTTGCCAAAGAGATTAATGTTTTTTTTTTGTTTCCCAAGGCAGTCAAACCGATAAGTATTTTAATTCTCAGAGCTGTTTTGCGTAGCCAAATCACGCGTCCACTTAAATGTGATATCTTTCTTTCAGTCATCAAGGCGAGTGCTGAGAGAACGACTCACTACAATTGAGAGCCCTGTCTGGATTCGAATCCAGGGCTGAGGTGCGAGCTTTGAAAATGACAATCTGAGCGGCAAGAGGATGTGTTCACTTAATATTTTATTTATTTTTACATTTATTTTATTTAAAAAATTGTCCTTGAAAATCTCTCGGGGCATGGAACATCTCGTTTGTAAGGGTGTCCAGAGTGTGATGCACATATACAAAAATGTTAAATATTTAACCTATACAATGTCCGTGTATATAATGAATAGCACACTCATTCAAACACAAGTATAAACAATATTGTAAATTATTAACTTGAGCATATTGCCGGTTCAAATACAATTTATTTTAGCTGTAACAGTTGCAAATGTTGTGTAAGTGTGGTTTAATTTTTTATCTAAGTTTATACTGCCAGCTTAGTCTTCGGCTACTAATCCCAATTAATGCCAATGATGCATACCGTGTCAACCCAAACGGGTTACCCATATTCTAGTGCAGGGAAATTGAGTTTTCCGGTCCATACGGCGTACGGCCGTTTCAATACGGGTAAAAAACATTTGTGTTGTCAATTTGTTTGTGTTTCTCCCTTGTAATGGGACTTTGTAGGATGATGAACGTTGAGACTTATAAGGGTACGGGGTGACCAATAAGGTTTGAATTGGTCTGTAATAAGGTAGGGCACTTAGGGGTTGACAGGCATGATGATGCTTTCAATGACCTCACAACAACAGGTCCATCCATAATGCAATGTGGCAGCAACATTTTATAATTTGACTTTTAATACAAACGAGTTTATTCAGGAATATATGTTTGATCATTGAAGGATTAGTTTGTTTGTCAATAGCTACAAATACATTGTTATTCATATGCCAATTCAAACATTGTATATCAGCAACAAAAATATATATTCCTATTATGCCCAATGATGAAAAGTACAGCCTCCAACTCTTACATTGCCTATCTCTCCGGCCTCGACATTTGTGTGTGCTGCAGAAGGCCCATTGCCCGAAACGTCGCCTTAAATGATTAGGGGTTTTAAACGAATTAATCAAACACCCACGATGGGCGGCGTTTAAAGACGCGTCGCTCGCGAGACAGCCAATCCGGGGCGTCGCTCGCCAGTCATAGACGCCACACCCCTTGCGGAAGTTGCGTGCGACAGTGTCCCGACAGGAGTGGCGGGGGGGTAGGCAACGCGTGTGGAGTTCGCGAGTCCCACCGGCTGGGGGTGGACCCGAGGCCTCGGCACATTCCCGCTGCCGCCGCCGCCGCCGCTGCTGCTGCTGCTCCTCCACCTCCTGTATACCCCCCCCCCCCCACGGAGCCTTCACTCACGCACTACGAGGCGAGGAGAACGCGTGGCTCCGTGATGCCCGCACTCGGCCCGGGCTACTGGAGCGGCTACCGGCTCTGAGGCCGTGACCCCGAGGCACCCCCGCCCCTCGCCCGCATCGTCCCCGTCGCTTGCGGGCAGGATGCAGTGCGTCCCCGCCAGGCGCCCTTTGCTGCTGTTCAGGCTGCGTCAGGGCTCCTGTGCCCCCCGTGTGAGCTACGGACGCGCCGGCCGCTGGGCCGCGCCGCCCCGTGGCCCTTGCCGCACGGCGTTGGCGGCGTTGATTTCCCGCGGGGCTCCGCGGTTATGGCCCCGAGAAGGCACGACCGCGTTGGCGAGGGCTGCGTCGGGCTTGCAGGATTGCGCGGAGCGCGAGGCGCAGCGACGGGCCCACGCGACGAGCGGCCCCGGGGTCCGACGAACGGGTCTGAGGGTGGTCCCGGGGCTTCCAGGGGTCATCGTTCCCTGGAGCGGTCACCTGGGATTCGCGGCTCCCGAAGCACGGGCCTGGAGCCTCCACCACGTCAGGAGGTTCGCGAGCGGCGCTGACGATGGTAGAGGCCTCAAGGAAGCGGGCGGCACTGGCGCGGCTTCGGAGGTTAAGAGCGCCGATGACTCCTCCAAGGACTTGAAGAAGCTGATGGCGCTGGCACGGCCCGAGAGTCGTACACTCGCCGGTGAGACAGCGCCACATTTCGGCTGCCCCGGGTCGTTAACAGTGCCGTGATGACTGACTGCAGTGTTGCCCCCTTCCCCCTCCACCTGCTGTTTGAATCCTGGCACTAGCACTGCACGCGATTGGCCTTGACGGGGATGAATGTGGAGTGGAGCACATTGGCAATTGCTGCGCTCGAGTTATTGTGCGGCGTGTGTCAGGGAATGCACAACATAACTTGATTTTATATTTTGAGCACGCGCTTTTGGTAACGTATTCTTGAGCAGAGATGTAATTAGATGAGGTGAAATGCGTATGCTCTCTCGGTTACTTTACACTAACTTCCAGATTTGTGTGGTATGCCATTAATGGATTTGGCACAACACAAAGCACAAGTCGACTTGTTGAGAGGAGCCAGGGCAGCTTGACCTCTCATTTTGTTTGAAAGGCCTTGTGAGTTTAGTGAGATTGTGTTTGTTCAAACTTCGCTTTCTAATCGCCGGTTTTGTTTTCTTTGCCTTCCACTCCTGGCAGCGGCGGTGGGGCTTCTGTGCATATCGAGTGTGGTGACCATGTCGGTGCCGTTCTGCCTGGGCAAGGTCATCGA